GTAGAGCCCGAGTTTTTAACAATATAATGTAATAATTTCCAATATGAAGATTTATTTTCAGAGTATAATTCCAAAAGTAGGCCATTAATATAAGAGTAGAAGTTTTCTTTCGCATAACATTTCATGTTGTTTACTCTATTTCTCTGATGTTTATAAGCTTTTTGTCGCTTCTCTTTTTTGTTTTCTTGGCCTTTCTCAGTAATCGGGTCTCTTTACGGGGATTCCCTCCTCAAATTAGAGTCATACCATGGTTTGTCATTTGGACGAATAGTTACTATTTTTGAAGGAATACATGATTTCACATGTTGAGTAAATTTGTTATAAAATAGTGAACAAGCATCATTAACATTTGAACATCCATTATATAAATCCTTCCATTCTGTATTTTCTATAAGATAATTGAGCATTTCATAATCACCCTTATTGTAACACCAGATTTCTTGCTTATAAGATATGTTGTTACATAATTGTGTACTTATGTTTACATATGTTCCTCTGTGATCACTTATATTGCTATCAAACTCAACAACACCACTGTCAACATCAATGTCTTCACTGACAATTACCGGATCAAGCAAAGTACTGGTTGTTTTGGTAACTCTAGTAGGTTCAGATATAACATTTCTTAAATTTTTCATAACCAAGAGTTCATTTACATTAAGTTTTTTAGCGGATAAGAGATTTTCATTTATATCACCAACAATAACAACCTTAGACGACATATCAAGAGCACTTTCAACGCTATTATCTAAGCGAGCCCAAAAGTCCAAAGAATTATACTCTGGTCGGTATACAGTACATAATAACAGCGAATTTTGAGGTAAATATATCTGAATCCAATTGAGTGCGGCCTCTCCCTGAGTTTCCTCTGTAATATCCGGATGGGCGACGAAAAGATCCTTTGCCGCCTCTGAAGCTGGAGTACTTCTTCTCCTTTGCCTTTCGATGCCGGAATATTTGGCCTTGCTGTTATACTTTTGCGAAGTATGACGGATGACATTGGCCAGAGTATCTATGGATTTTATCATCATAACTTCTCTAGAGTCGTGCGTAGCTACCTTAGTTGCATCGTCTATTTGTCATCCAAAGATAGTAGGCGCCTCCCATGGAGCTCTCAGTAGCAGTTGGGTGAATCTGCCACTCTATGAACAGGATGCAAGTAGCCCATGTCTGCGTAGTAAAGTGAGACCTGCAGATATAGATGCCAGATGGTCAGATAAAAAGTATTGGTCCTTCTTCTGAGTTATGAGCGCCGAATATATCATTCTGTCCTCTTCCCGAACTTGAGTTCTGGAAATTATTGATCAATGCTTCATTGATACCTCTGGACCTGGCCAACCAGAAGAAGGATCTCATTGTAGAAGTATCAAGTTGAGATAACTTTTTATCTTCTACTTTATACATCTTGTTCCGGGAGTCGTTGACTAACTTTACGTTATCATCCCATTCAGGCGCCTTTGTAAATGGATCCATATGATGTAAGGGGAATCTCTTCACATTAAATGATGGCAGATGCTGACTCTGGTACTTGGATGCTTTCGCGAAAGCTGTGCTAAGGTTGGAGGGTACCCTGGATATAGGTTCAATCAGAGGGACAGTGACGGAGTCAAAGTCGTTGTTACGCATCATTTAAGTGTTGACTTCATCTTTATCCTTAGAAGGAGACTCCAAGTTCAACTCGTTGGCAATCCAAGCTGTAACCTCTGCGTCTGGGAAGACGAAGTCCGCTTGCTCATCCAGTATCTCCTGATTATTAGAGCTAGGCCTCCGCGTATCATCCATCTGCGAACCTGTATCCCTTCTCGAACCTTCATCATCCTTTTGCGAACCTCTGTCTGCAGATTCCTCCGTACGCGAATGTCTATCTTGAGAGTCCTCTCTTCGCGAACCTCTATCTGTAGATTCATCTCTTCCCGAACCTCTAGAGATATGAGATCTCGATCTAGAGCGGCTAGGTGTAGGAGATGGATCCTTTGATGTTCTCGAACGTTGAGGGTTTGCAGATGTAGAACGATGAGTAGGCATCTCATGTCTTCTATCCTCCTCCAAGATGACAGAGTTGTCCGACTGTGGAGACCTTCGCAAAGGTGTACGTTCGCCAACGTAGTCTTGAGACATAGTTCTCTGAGGAGTAGGTTCGCGCAAGTATGTAGGTTCGCGCATGTCCGTAGGTTTGCGCACGGTGTCGGTAGATGAGAGGCTTCGCTGAGCCTTCGCTTCTTCCTCGAACCTGCGTTCCATCACGGTCATCATCTGGTTGGTGAATTGTCTCATAAATTCGAACTAACCCTGCATCGCCGGCGCCAGGCACCTGTGACAGACCTGAGCATGAAGCTAGCCCGCCACCAGGTGCCGAGGGCGCTCTATCACCACGGCCGAAGGCGGGATCAAGCTGCCCGGGGGGAGGCGCGTTCTCCGAGCCGAAGCTCGGGCCGCAGCCAACCCCCTCAGATGTGTCAGATCCACCCCTGACGACCGGCTGCGCGCTGAGCTCCTTACGGAACCCAGCCAAAGCCGTATTGATCAGAGATTTCACTGACGACATCTGTTCCTGAAACAAAGCGGTTAAAGAGTCAACAGGTACAACTGGTGCCGACACAACAGGGGGGGTGGCAGATACAGGAGCAGCTTGAGATATAGATGTATTAGTTTTCTCCAACGAAGCCTCCTTGGAACCCTTAGCTCTTTTGGGAGCCGGCTCCGTATGGGAAGCGGCTCCCGTAGACCCCTTTTTTTGTGTGAACGCTTGGACGGGGGATCCTGAGCCCAGATATCACCCCCCGCCTGAAGCAGGTTGCTGTAAAACAGCCGGTCCACCCGTCGTGCCTTAATAGTTTGAGGCGTGAAAATGGCACACGCCGGACACCCCTCTTCCTCATGATCAGTTTGGATGAGGCAACGTAAACACACCTTGTGCGTGTCCCTGACGGGAATGGCAGCGAGGCACGAAGTACAGGATTTAAACTGCAACAAGTAAAAAACCTGTGCAGCAATCAACCCCATACACACATACATATATGAAAAAACATGCATGGGCGACACAACTAATGCGACAGCGTAGCATACAGTTGACAATAACCATAATACGCACTGCAACATAACTAACAATTACGACTTTTAGCGTAAGATAGAAAATGCTAGCAGCGGAAACGCCCTACATGTAACAACATATAAATAAAAAGTACTATAACCACCTGTAACATTGAAAAAACACACGGAAAACCAAAGAACAGGGAGGCTACCGAAGGGACCTGTCTGCCATCTTGACACGCACCCGGCGAGCCGACCGCGACAGGTACCAAGTTACAACTAGAAATTATGAATGAAAAAGTTCAGAACAAGCCTCCAAATCGCCCATGCAGGGAAAAAAGAGAACCATACATACAGTTGCTGTTTCTGACACACTCATAATTTTGCGCAGGGAAAAGAAACCTTCTTGAATGGACCCACGTCTTGCCGGTAAACGACAGCATGGAAAGTGAGGTACGAGGTTACGGTCTAGAGTTACCTGCTCTTGGCTGTAGGGGGCCGGAGGGCCCTGTAAGGGTGGTCTCACAAGACAAAACGTAGTTTTTGTTTTGTAAATATTTTTATTCAAATATTGTTACAACTGTCGTAGGGAATTTAAATGGACATTTAAATGCTTATAAGTACCCCAAGGAGGAATATATAAAAAAGAATCACCCGGGTCAAAGTTCTGCGTTGGTTGAAGCTGCTGCGGTGTAGAAGAAGCGTTCGCGAACGCTGATGAGTTCTGTGCCTCGACTTCACTCTGTTGAGAAATAAGTGGTGGTTCGTCAAACAGCTGTCCTGCTGTGACCGTTGCAGGAGACGATCTAGTAGTCGTAGAAGTCGATTGAGTCGCTGATCTCATAGGTACTTCGGGTAGAAGTAATGGGGGATCATCAAAAACGTCTACTTCATGTGGAGGTAATATCTCTTTGATGAAGGATTTCTGATGTTTTCACTTACTAGCCCGTTTAGATTTACCCTCCGATCTGGTAACAGATGCTTTCTTCTGCGATGTAGAAGAGGATGACGTCTTTTTCTTAGCTTGAGTCGGAGTCAACTGCGTAGTAGCCGATCTCTTCTTAGCCCCCGTACCAGCAGACTGCCCCTGCAACGTACTGCACCAGTATTATTACTGCCCCTGCACCAGTATTATGAATTTCAGCAGTAGCAAGCAACATACGGTTTGCAGGCTGATCACCTGTTTTATCAGCCGTGACTTGAGATGACTTCTTCACCCGATCCATGGCATGTCTATAGATATAAGACAAATATTGATTAAATTGTAGATATGTTAAATCAACACAATAAGTACAGCGCAAGCTGGAAGAACAGTGTTTTATGCACGAAGGGCATTGGGGGTGAGGATCAGCCACGGATAACCTGTGCCTGCAAACACTGCAAGATTTCATGAAATGTAAACAAAGTTACATAACGAAGAAATACAAATATTTTGTACAAAATTTGTACATATAATGCAAAGTAGTTATTGCCAAATCCATACACAGCGTAATTTTGAAGAATAAGACCTAAATAAAAAGGATATAATGCCGTATATGGGACTCAAGTGCTTGCCCAACCATCCACTTGGGCGAAAAGGGAGAGAGTGACAAGTAAGGCTGGTCACATGACTGTTTACGCGGGAAAGGGCAAAAGGGAGGTAACTCGAGGGTGAGTGTATTTATACGTCCGCTTCAGGAACTTCAAGGGATTCAAGTGTTCCACTACCATTCGAAAGGAAAAGGGAGATAAGCAAAAGATCATGAGTCAGGATAAGAAAACTTAGGCCATGTAAGCCTATAGTATTGGGCATAGCCCTATTTGTTTAGACTAAACTCAAATCAAAAAAGGGGTCATTGTTTGCAACACAACATTCAGTTATGCAATTAATAACAACATAAAACCACTAACAGCAACAAAAACTTTACAATGGTCTGTAAATGAACAATGAATCGTGGAGTGGTGAGCCACAATGACATGAGATATCTCACCTCATACAGTTGGCATAGTGATTGATGAGTGGTTTAGTCTTCATCCTCATCTTGATGAGCTGTGCAATGACATCCAGGTCACTGTGGTCTGCCTGGTTACAGTTCATGCACACAGACATCAGCAGATCCTGGGCTGTGCGGGCCAGCTGAAACAGAACATGGCGCAAGTATGGCTACAGTTACTTAATGCTGTTTTGTCTGAGTGAGTGAGTGAGTGAGTGAGTGAGTGAGTGAGTGAGTGAGTGAGTGAGGAGGGGAGGGAGTGAGTGAGTGAGTGAGTGAGTGAGTGAGTGAGGTTTTACATTGCTTTTAGCAATATTCCAGCATTTCTGTTATATGGTGGCATCTCAGTATTTCACCACTATCATGGGGTGCCACTTTGAAGGAGAACACTGGACCAGAGATACCTTTCAGTCAATGGCACACAGTTTAAAAGGTTATTCTGGTACTGTTGGCAGTGTTGGACGTACCTTGGGGTTTTGAAGCCACATTTCCAAACGCTGGGCAGTCAGAGCTCGGACCTCACCATAGCCACATGTCACGGTCATCAGACGGATCAGGTTACGCGCAGAAGCATCCATAGGCTGGCGGCGGATCAGCTGCTCACGGATCAGTTCCATGATGTAGGATTCTATGCTGTCTTGTTGATAAGGAAACCTGTCAAGAAACACGGAGGGATGGAGACTGCAACATTGCACTGATGTGCTGATTTCACCCCCTTCCTGTTGGCAAAGCTGATGTGTCGTTCACCAAATATCCTATCCAAATAGCCATATCCTGGTAAATATTTACTCCAGAGGATACATCATCACAATACATTTCATAGAATTTATCATGATTTGACTTTTATCAATATATACACAACGTCAACACTGACCTTTGAAAGACATTGGTACTGTCGCTGTCTGTTCCTGATACAGAGCTCTTCTCGCTGTCCCCACCGTCGGAGCCCTTGGAGCCCTCGTCCTCCTCAAACAAGTGCAACACTGGACTGGCTGTCAACACAGGAACATACGGATCACAGACAGTATTCCCATTACCATTGTTACAAACCAGCTAAAATTCACCATATTCAAGCAACAAACAATCAAGTCTGCATTCAACTATATTCCAGCAATAAACAATCAAGTCTGCATTCAACCATATTCAAGCAACAAACAATCAAGTCTGCATTCAACCATCTTCCAGCAATAAACAATCAAGTCTGCATTCAACCATATTCCAGCAATAAACAATCAAGTCTGCATTCAACCATATTCCAGCAATAAACAATCAAGTCTGCATTCAACCATATTCAAGCAATAATCAATCAAGTCTGCATTCAACCATATTCCAGCAATAAACAATCAAGTCTGCATTCAACCATATTCCAGCAATAAACAATCAAGTCTGCATTCAACCATATTCCAGCAATAAACAATCAAGTCTGCATTCAACCATTTTCCAGCAATAAACAATCAAGTCTGCATTCAACCATATTCCAGCAATAAACAATCAAGTCTGCATTCATCCATATTCCAGCAATAAACAATCAAGTCTGCATTCAACCATATTCCAGCAATAAACAATCAAGTCTGCATTCATCCATTTTCCAGCAATAAACAATCAAGTCTGCATTCAACCATATTCAAGCAATAAACAATCAAGTCTGCATTCAACCATATTCAAGCAATAAACAATCAAGTCTGCATTCAACCATATTCCAGCAATAAACAATCAAGTCTGCATTCAACCATATTCCAGCAATAAACAATCAAGTCTGCATTCATCCATATTCCAGCAATAAACAATCAAGTCTGCATTCAACCATTTTCCAGCAATAAACAATCAAGTCTGCATTCAACCATTTTCCAGCAATAAACAATCAAGTCTGCATTCAACCATTTTCCAGCAATAAACAATCAAGTCTGCATTCAACCATCTTCCAGCAATAAACAATAAATTCTGCATTCAACCATTTTCCAGCAATAAACAATCAAGTCTGCATTCAACCATTTTCCAGCAATAAACAATCAAGTCTGCTTTCAACCATTTTCCAGCAATAAACAATCAAGTCTGCATTCAACCATTTTCCAGCAATAAACAATCAAGTCTGCATTCAACCATTTTCCAGCAATAAACAATCAAGTCTGCATTCAACCATCTTCCAGCAATAAACAATAAATTCTGCATTCAACCATTTTCCAGCAATAAACAATCAAGTCTGCATTCAACCATTTTCCAGCAATAAACAATCAAGTCTGCTTTCAACCATATTCCAGCAATAAACAATCAAGTCTGCATTCATCCATATTCCAGCAATAAACAATCAAGTCTGCATTCAACCATATTCCAGCAATAAACAATCAAGTCTGCTCCAAACAATCCAGTGATTGATATTATGAACAATGACATATGGTGTTTGGGCATGATGACATGCAATCTGCCATGTCACAAGCCACCACTGGATCCAGTTAGTTGCCTCCGAACAACCAGCATAGGTTGAGCCTGGTTGAATGGTTGTACCTGATCCTGGAGATTCCCCTTTAGGTGGGTCGGCTGCTACCAGCATGCTCTTAGGGGGCATCTTGGTGCAGAAGGCAGTCAGAATGTTGTCAACAAAGCCTTTGCAGTCATCTCGGTCAACCCAGACACGTTCACCAAGTGAGTCTTCTACATATACCTGTAACCATGACAACACAATATTGGCTTCTGCAACATTCCCTTAAAATGATATCAGCCTGTGGATAACACCTCTAACCAAACAGTAAACTGGTTAAAAACGTAAATAGTTTTAATACAATTCTTTGAAAATACTAGAAGCATTTACATGTACATATATGGCTATTTGCTTTCATGCACCACATGAATGAGATTATACTCTGGAAAATTGTGTTCAACACTTCACAGAAGTTGACATCCATATAAGCACTATGTTATGCACATAGTACTGACTTTATCACTTTACCCGATAGAAGTCAAAATATGAGAAATGTAAGTTGAAATAGTTTGAGATGCTCCTTCAATTTGCTAATATCTGTTCGCTTTATGCTGAACTTCTGCTAAAGGTTTTGCACTGTTCACTCAATAAGTATGGCCAAAGGTTTTGCTCTGTCCACTCAATAACTATGGCCCGCTGAACAGTCATTTCAGGGTTTGTACAAATTATCAGGCCTTTTTAGGGCCCAATCTACTACTTTAAAGGCACATATAACACATAAACAGTTGAACAAACATGAGGTTGGTGGAATATGGGACTGATTATCAAAGGGAAATAACTCTTAGGTACATTGTCATGATGGGAAAATGGAGATTAATTAACACACATTATCATTGTAAGGTATTTTGTATGCATCAGTTTTATGTAAAATCATAACTTGACAAGTTTTGCTAAATTTATGGCCTTTTCAGGGCAAATTTGTGGCAATTAGCTTAAACAAATTTCGGGCCTTATTTGGGTAAAACGTTCACATTTCAGGTTTCTCAAGCCCGTGTGAACCCTGTATTTGCTTAGTTTTTTGTTGCTGTTCACACTGCAGCACTGCAGTCGGCAATATTCAGCTGTATGACAGTGGTCTGTATTTGGCCCTGTACCACACAATCCAGTGATTGAGCTCGAGAGCATCTATCTAGAAAACGATGACATACACCAAGCAAGTCAGCGAGTCAAGACACTTGATCCCATTAGTCGCCTCACACGACACTCGTGAGTTGCTCTAACATTTAAACAATATAAGCGTACTTTGACAAAGTCATCAGGCCAGTTCTCCTCTTCAATGAAGGCAGCATAGAGCACATTGCAGCCAGCAACTGACACCAAGGGGTTCCCCTTGGCCTTGAAGTTCAGGGACATGTCTCGCTTCAACAAGCTGCAGAAAGCCTGAAGGAGAATTGACAAAATATGACACCATACAAACGCAGGTAGTGGTGTTCAAGTATATTAAAAACAAACAATCATTACCAGATCTTCATGACAACTGGGTAAACATGCATGCACAACTTGTCTAATAGTAAGACAAATACAGTTGCAGTCAAACTTGTTTTATTTGAAGAAGTGATCTGGTGAATACGTACTTCAATTACAACTTCACTACAGAAGAGGGTGGGCCGTGTTTTGGCAAGATACATCAGTGAGAGGAAAACAGCTGGGTCAGGCTTTGCTCGGTTTGATCGTAGCGACTTGACAGCTCCACACAGCAGTCCCTCGATCCTCTCGTCACTCCCAGACTCCTCCGCCACCAGCAACTGATCCAACACCTCACATGGGTCCACTGTCACACACACATCATCATCATCATCATCATCATCATCAAGCATCTGATTCATAACAACACACATCAATACCACCCAAAAATACATGGAAATATCAATAGAAAAAACATATCATATGATCATTTGAAATTTATAAAAATATAGCCACTCGACATTTGCTGGCATGTTCTACCCGAACCAGTCCAATACAAGCACAGTAAAATCATGCAGTAATGTCTTGTGTGTCTGTCATGTGTGCCTGTAGTTGCTTGTACTAACCCTGCCTAATCCAGGTTTTATAGTGATGGCTAGGAAACAATACTGCAGGCTTGGACATTACCACTGTATTGTTCTATTCAGATGGGAAGAGTGTAATGATAGGTTTTTCTATGGTTGAGGACTATGTTAGAAATATAGAGAACATACACTGTATACCATGTTTATATAGGTTATTTTGTCAAACTGTTTGAACACTGTGAATACTTTATTTCACAATTGCTGAATTAGATGTTTCTTTGTTGTTTGCCACCACACTCAGCAATATTCCATGCATATGACAGTAGTCGGTAAATAATCTGGACCAGACACTCCAGTGATTAGGATCATGAACATCAATCTAAGCAATTTGAATCCAATGACATGCATCAACCAAGTCAGCGAGTCTGACCACCGAATCCTGTTAGTCGCCTCTTACAACAAGCATGTGTTGCCGAAGACCAATTCTACTCCAGATCATCATGGGGGCTGATTTACATGGGAAAAATAATATATGAGTAAGCAAATAATAAAGTAATTACACATCAACTGTAACTTTATTTCAGCTGAAGCAATAACGTGAATCTGTTGATTCTGACAGTGACAGATTCTAATTCTGGAATCAACAGATTCCTGTGATTTTGGTACTAATGATTTCACTGTATTTTGATTTACCATCAATAGCTGTCTCTTCAAACTGAAGAGAAATAACTGTAGCTGGGGATCCTTTCCGTTCAACGTCTCCATGACGACCTAGCGGCATAAACGTTTGACCAAGTTTGGGTTTCTTTGGAGCTAGTCCCCCAGTGGCTGCTGTGGCAACCGGAGCTTCTCGTTTCCTGTCAGCAGACGAGGTGGGTTTTCTCCCGACTGGCTGAGGACTGGTGGATCTCTTGGTGTCAGGCTCAGCACCCTTTCCCTTCGACACACCAAGTGCAATGAAGTCCCCTGTCGGAGGGTGTCCTGTTAACAATAACACACAATATTGCTTAGTCAGTAACCTGTGTGGTTTTAGGCTACTTTGAATTTCAGTTAGATGATGGCATGTCCATAAAATGTTGGCAGAAAATCTTATATGAGACAGCTCTGAGATGTTTGTCAGTTTGATGAAACCCACAAGCACTGATATGGTGCTGGCATTGCTAGAAACATAATAAAAAACTGGTGCAACTCTACACAGTGATTTCACAACTTAACACTTGACTGCCTACTTCGTGGTATGCAGTCAATGTGTTAAGCTAAGTGGGTGAACTGTGGCACCGGTTAGCTGTGTTGATGTGAGAATTTCTGAGGTCTCATAACTTAAATACATTTCACAATTATCCCTAGAAACTGCTGGTTCAACACACTGGTTAAGACTAAGAGCAAGCACCTTATTAGTTGGGCCACAGAACATGAACAATTTTATGCAAAAACTTGCTGACAAGAAATTATCACGGTAACGGTTGTAAAGTGACGAACCTTTCGCTAAATATATCGTATCTATGACTCAGTACTTTGACGATAAATAAGGTAAAGGTGTCTTAACGAGCATAAAGTCGAATTTACACTGACAGTCCTAAAGACAAGGTCTTTAGAATTTAGATTTTTTGTTTCTGGTACTCCCATAAAGTGTCAATTTCTACATACTGTCTACTTTGTGGATTATGGTCTAAAGTATTTATATACTGATGACGGGAATTTATCTTAGAATCTAACCCCTTTATCCATATCTGAATCTGCATTAAAATGCGTACCTTTTGGTTTGGGACCCTTCTTCCCGGGTGCAGCTTTGGATCTTTCCATACTTGAGTTATTCGTCTTTAAAACAATAAATCAACAAATCGCATTTCTAAAGAAAACACAAAACAAAAACATTGCCGGTCATTCTCTGAGCCATGCCATTTTCCGCTTTACCAATTCAAAGGGAAGTAACTCTAAATAAGAACGCTCGCCCCATGTTGAAGGCCACTAAACACATGAGTTGGATTACCTGGTGGCTAGCCCCACTCAGTTCAAGACTCTCTGCTTTGAATAACGTGGCCTTTAGTTGGATTCAATAAAAAAAAACAATTTAGGTACAAAGTCGATTTAGCATATTAACATTATCTTACACTGTTACCCTAAAAGATAAAAGACAAAACAAAATCTTGCTTTTTGGAAACTTTATAAGTTGTTAAATTTCCCCAAAATAGTTTCAACCCAACAAAGAAATATGCTAAATCTCATTCATGTGCATTATGAAAAATAAATTATAATTATTCTGACTTAATCTATTTCAAGTTTTCTGTTTCGTAACAATGCAATGTTCATCAAATCAATTTCAGTAGCTTTTCTCAGTTGAGCGTGATCGTTGATGCCTGCCTCCATAAATCTTACGTGACTCATCATTTCTAATGCAAACACGAATTGGGAAATATCGTAGCATGTGGCCGTGTTTAGAGCGTTTCCAATAACATTTGGTAGATAATCATTCTTAACAAAGACATAATCAGTCATCGTTCTGACATCGTTACATTTTTTTATTGAATGTATGAATCGAACTGCCATCTAAAGGTACAATAGAGGAAAGATTTCTCTCTTCGAGAACCCTTTGAAGACAATTGGAGCGAGTATGTCTATTGGCTGTGTTGATATCACCAGGGATAATTACTTGTCCTTGCTGTGAGGAAATAACACATAGGTCCATAGGATAATAGATGTTGTTGGGAGTACACTCACTCCACATTAGCGCATGGTAACCGAACTCGAAGTATAAGTGTTGGCTTGCTGCCTATAGTGAGTGAGTGAGTTTTTGGTTTTACGCCGCTTTTAGCAATATTCCAGCAATATCACGGTGGGGGACACCAGAAATGGGCTTCACACATAGTACCCATGTGGGGAATCGAACCCGGGTCTTCGGCGTGACGAGCGAACGCTTTAACCACTAGGCTACCACACTGAGCATCGACCTATGCAACTGGGATACGATGACATGTATCAAGCAAGTCAGCGAGTCTGACCACCCCACCCCCCACACCCACCCCTGATCCCGTTAGTTGCCTCTTACGACAAGCATGGGTTACTGAAGATCAATTCTAATCCTGGTGTTATATTGTAATGAACAGTTAATCCTATTACGCATTGGCAGTTCCAAGCGTGTTGATTGCTAAATACACAAAGTACACCATGTGTTGGCTGATGCAATCTCTTGAGAAATTACAATGTCGTTTTAGAGAGGGTCAGTTTGCACTAAAACATGATGTAGGACCGGATTTGATTGTCGGAATTCGGAATAGAGGGATGTTGGATTAGAGGGAGTTTCTTATATAATATTATACAGGGACAAATTCGGGACCAAATGAATATGTCGGTTTACAGGGGAATGTCGGATTAGAGGGATGTCTGTTTAGAGGGAGTGCACTGTATATTGACGAGGGACCATCTGCACCACTCGCCTTTACATCGTTTTCAGGCCAGACAGTTTCATCACTCAGTATCACGTGTACGTTGGTTGGGGACATTGATACTTATAGGGTATGTGCACTCGTCCCTCTGAGTGTTCCAATAGTCTGATGTACGTGGTTGACACATCTCGTTCTCTTACATAGTCAGGGCAACTCAAAGGCCTGATCAGGCCGTACTAAAGACATGACTATAAATAGTCTCTATTATTGAATCGAGAAGACCCTAGGAGACCCTTTTTCCACTATCGAATTTGACCGATCAGTGTTCGACGAGCTGTGTGCCTCATTTTGAGATAAGTAATTCTTGCAATGGTCGTTGTTGTCATCTTTAGTAATTGACGTCCCGACCCTAAGACCGGGGCTTAGTCTTTAAGGTGGAGCTGGTAATAAAACAAAATATTAAAAAAAGCTGGTACGGTGGTGGCAACTGAGGAAGACAAACCCACAACGATGCAGGTCGTAAGCGGGTACGGTGGTGGTACCTCAGGAAGACAAACCCACAACGATGCAGGTCGTAAGGGGGTACGGTGGTGGTAACTCAGGAAGACAAACCCACAACGATGCAGGTAGTAAGCTGGTATGGTGGTGGCAACTCAGGAAGACAAACCACCCACAATGTTGCAGGTCGTAAGCGGGTACGGTGGTAGAAACTAAGGAAGACAAACCCACAACTATGCAGGTCGTAAGTGGGTACGGTGGTGGTAACTCAGGAAGACAAACCCACAACGATGCAGGTCGTAAGTGGGTACGGTGGTGGTAACCCAGGAAGACAAACCCACAACGATGCAGGTCGTAAGTGGGTACGGTGGTGGTAACTCAGGAAGACAAACCCACAACGATGCAGGTCGTAAGCGGGTATGGTTGTGGCAACCCAGGAAGACAAACCCACAACGATGCAGGTCGTAAGTGGGTACGGTGGTGGTTACTCAGGAAGACAAACCCACAACGTTGCAGGTCGTAAGTGGGTACGGTGGTAGGAACTATTCCCCATCTTAAAGTGAAGTCTCTACTTCTCAACAAGGAAGAAGCCTCACAAATTTATCAATCAGACGAAGTTGTGTATTCAGACCAGTAACACCACGATTTCAACAGGATCAAGGGAGTGTTCTCCGATCAGTAACCTCACGTTGGGGGAGCACTCCTCCAGCGGAGCGTCTTATCACGGGACAAGCTCGATATAGCACCGGATCACTATAATTACACACTGTATCCCCCTTTATCAAGGAACAATGGGTGAGAGTCACATGGCGATGGATATAGAGGGTGGGAGGATGTGCTGATAACATCCAAAATAACATAATCTATTTTTGTAGCCATCGGTCCACTATCACTGTGTTTTTTCGAACGGGTTATCTTGAGGGCAGTGACTTGTACAAAACTAAAATGAAAGTGGTAATAAAATGCATAAACAAAGTATTGACGAGAAATATCAAATCACGTTCAGCTTGATCTCAACCAGGGCCGTAGCTACCATTATAGAAAAAGCCCGGGCTTACACATGATTGTTGCTAAAAAGGTTGGGCAAGCCCTCAATATATCTAAGTATAAAGCTTTGCAACCAATCGGGCTTACACGAAATTTTTTTTTTTTTTTTTTTTTATTTTCCATATTTCATGTACAGGCAAACATGTATAGATAAGTTACAGGAAAAAATGGCTTGCTACACGCATGTCAACGATCAGTTACACACACATATCGTAATATTCTGCACTAACTTTTCGTTGTTGTCTTCAGTTATGTAATATATAACTCCCGGAGAATACACGTCAGGTCTCTGGGGTACTAGTATTCATTTTATAACTGAAAATCGACTTTTTGGACGACTAGTTTCAATTACCTCTCTGTTATACTGAAGTTCTTGGAGTGGACTTTCCAATTTGGCTATTGGATCTTTTCTTAGTGATCTTGTAGGGGGTGGGGTCTTCTGTGGATTTATTATCTAGCCAAAGTATAAAGACAGCACAGTGAACATTTACTAAAATTCAGTTACAGCGACAGCTTCGGCTGTCATATACAGGACCCCACCCCGTTTTACCCTGTTTTGTATCATCAATTCAATTCAATTCTTTATTCTCATAAACCACCGTGGTGGTACAAGAGCATATATTGTAAACATATATACAAATACAAATACAAATTCAAGATGGCAGTAAACAACATATTAACATTTTTTTCTGACAAGAGATGATAGATGTAGGATATATTTTGATAGATTTACTATGTCTCGAGATGTTTTTACAGATAATATTTTCGTGAACTTTGTTTCATTGGGAAAAGAGGTTAGGTGGGAGGGTAAATATTCTTTCCTCAAAGTATCTAATGCTTTGCAATGAAAAATATAGTGGTATTCATCTGCGATGCTTTTAGAAGTGCATAGTTGACACGTTTTCTCGTCCCTTGGAATATTATACCAGCGGCCCGTCTCAATAGGTAAACTATGGTTACATGTTCTAAATCTCAATAATGGTAAAGAAGTGCCTTTTGGAAGGAGGAGATATACATCAAAATTGGGAAATGGCTTTAGGTGCTGATAGTGTATACCCTTAGGACTAGAAATAATGTCATTGTGCCAGTTTTGGATAAATTGATGTGTAAGAATATGTTCAGGGTTGCATAACACGCTCGCCTATGTTTAGCACATTTGATGATGTAAGCATCATATACAGTTACATGGTCGCCTGTCATGATCAATTGATGTGATGGTACTTGTTTCAGATTCGCGAAGGTTTAGATTTCAAGGTTTTATGCTTTAAATCATTTCTCAGTTGCAGTAAGTCAGATTTGGGTTCCTCTTCACGAGATAGTCGTTCATGTGATTTATGCGAGAGATAGGCGACCTCTTTACATTTCTCTACTAGCATCTCTCTCAACTGACGCCTGTGGTCGTGGAAATATGACAATTTCTCTTTCTTTCATATCATCGTGCAAATTCATTACTTTTGATAAGAAATACGAAATCAGGTCATGCTTATTTCGTCAACAATGTTAGTACTATTCACATCAGAATCATTCTCTGGTGTACGTGACTTTTGTCGACTTCAGCATGGATAACGTGTGCAGGCACAGATCCTTGAATAAAACACTACAACAAATACATATCGGATTTCTGCAATACAGGATCCCATCCTGTTATATTCCGTTTTTGTATCACCAGGATTGCATGCCACCCTCACCCATGTTTACCACATTTCATGATGTAAGAATCTTATAAATTACATCCCTTGGCGATTCCGGGTTCGACTTGGTTCCGCGTAACCCAACCTTGCCATAAGAGGCGAATATTAGGGCAGTAGGCTCAGTGGTATGATTGTTATTGCAGCAACATGTTTCGATGGGATCGGTCGTTGATCATAATATCAACCTATGGTGTGTCAAATTCACACTGGATTATGTTCAAAAGGCGTCACATAATTGCAGTATTGATGAATCCGGCATTGTTTAACACAAAAACAACAACTTCAACTGCTCCAGACTGACTGACGACGGCAAACCTTGGAACATCGCTTTGACCTTGACCTCCAAGATTACAACCTACCTTCCCATGCACAACCGAGCCATCAATGGGACATGGATGAATTGATTACAACCACGAGGGATACGAGTT